TCTCACAGAAGTAGAATTTTTCACCCACAGGCACATCAAATCTTGTAAATTTATGGCTGTCTTGAATCTACACTGTTGAACCTTACCATTATTATTATTATAACAGTAAAAATTCTTTGTAACCTTATTATGATGCCTATATGAACCATATTATAGTACATAAGTTTCCTCACTGAGAAAAAAAGCATGATCAAAACTACCAGAAAAATTTAGAGTGTTTCTGACTTTATTGGAACACTAAAAAAACATTGTAATTTTTAACGAAACGCTTTGGTAAAATTAATAATAAAATATGGTTTTATAATAAGTGATAAAATTTGATAAATATGGTAAAATTTGGTAATTTTATCATGATACCATGGAATGGCATAAAAATCACTTCTGGGGTTAAACTTACTTCTTAGTTTAGTATTTTTTATTAAATGTGAGGTAATAAGAACTGTAATTTAGAAAAACCAGAATTTGGGGCAAACCGCTACCGAAAAAACGATGAAAACTATGAAACGAATGGCTTAGTTACGATATTTTTCGGTTCTAATACCTTAATTATGAGTCTTTCTTTTTCTTTTTTTTTTAACCAGAACCGGTTTTGTTATTCAGTACGGTTATTTTACCAGAATTCTTTACTCTGTGCATTTTAAACATACATTATACTATGGTTCAACTAAATAACGGTAATAAGGTCCATTTGAATGTTTTTTTAATGTTGCCTGCAAATTAACACGAAAAATTGGTACATCATCACTGAACGATGGCCATGCAGGATAGAATGGTATACAATAAGGTACCATTGTTATATCAAATAAACAATCCCAAGAGACTGAAGCAGTAAAATATTACTTTAACTGTAAGATATTTGTTGTTAATTTTACCAAAATCATTACCGAAACGGTTTGGTTAAAATTACCGAGCTTTTTGGTTTTTCCATATATTTAGAAACACGGTAAAATATTATTTTAGGGGGAAGATAATACATATTTTTATTCAAATGAAATCAATGCTAAAATTTCATTGTTGAACTGATTTTTCTACGAGTTGTGTGAAATTCAGTTCTAATTCGACCTACTAAAACGCCATTCATAACTATAAAATTTTCAGAAAAGGAAATATTTTAATGAATTTTATTGTATAAAAGTGGATTATTTTCTGTGATATTTCCATTGGTAATTCGGTGATATTTACATACACTAAAAACAAATGACTTTTTTTTGTTAAAAAAAAATATATTATTTGTTGTTTATTTGGATAAATAATTTAATTGTTTTTCTTGTATGCTTTTTAAATATGTGTGCATTAAGAACAAGAAGTATTAAGTTTGACCCACCAAAATTCAGTTTTTGAATTTGACTATCAGATAAGGTTTCGAAAAGTATCATGAAGTACCAAACATTATGAATAGACCAAGTTAGAGTAAAAAAAATTATTCCTTTTGAATAGTTAAAAGTCCTAGAAATAAAGCTAAGTTTAGTGGTTAAGTTTAAGATTAAAATTAATTTTCTAGACTAAGGTGCTTTATTGCAGTCTCACATGCACTCCAGTTGGCGCATCTGTTACAACCATTTATGATAACTTATCATAAAAAACAATTACAAGAAACAATAACCGAAACTTAAGAGTGCAAAAAAAGCAAGATATGCGAAAGTTTCTAAGACAAACAACCCAATAAGCTGTTTGAAACTTTTCTTATAGGAAAGAAAATGTTTAAATATAAGGAACTAACTTTTTGAGTCAAAAACTCATTAAACTAAGTTCTGGTATTTTTCGTAACTTTTTCAATGAAATTTTTCCCTTCAAATAATTTCAATAACTTTTATGAAGGTAAACAATCCGAATTTTCTCTTTGATAAAAACTTATTTGAATCAAAATTATCTTAGATAATCCTAAATGATTATCATAATTGATGAAACGTTAATTTAGGCATTTACGTCTTTTAATTTATCAAAGAAGCACCCATAATGAATGACTAAATTAAAATAAACCCTTTGTGTTTTTATTTCAGCATAAATTAAAACTAACAATTGCTAGCGTTTCTTCAGAACTCCAAAGAATATTTCAGGAAAAAATGTCAAAAATTAAAACTTTTTACATGAAGCGAAAAACAACGAGCATCAATCGTGTTTCATATGCATATTCACAATAAGATTTTCTAGATATAACCTGCTTATCAGCAAGAACTGCCGACCAGTAGCAAAAACTTAATTCATTCTTTAACAGACATCGAATGTTAAAGCTTAAAAGATAGTAATTATCTCTCTTTAACAACGTAATTAAAATGTAATTTTTTTTATTGTCGACCACCGTGGCAGCTGGGTTGAAAACAAAACGAAAGGGCATTCCAGAATTTTTTTGCATCACTCCTCAAGAGGTGGAAAGGGTGCTTCAACTACCTTTTGTTCGAGAAGAGGTGTTGAAAAGAGGCGGAAACTAATTATCTGCTGGAAAGTGGCAACCAGCTTTGCTTATTTACCATTGCACCAGCCGGCGCACCCTTACCGTCGTTTATTAAAATGATTGGAACAAAACAACTCTAGGATTTGACACTTCATTATACGGACTTTAATTAGGGGTGGTCGAGGCTATTGGCAACCTGATCACGTGCACGGTTACGGTTACTCTCAGCGAAGTAAAGGCTTGATGAAATATCGTGACGTGTTGCTACTGCGTTGGTGTAAGCGTCTCTCTAGAAACTAAATTAATCCCCTTGGCTTGCTGTTGAATGATAAATTATAGTAACTTCGCCTAATATTTGTTGAGCTTTTAATTAGAAAAGAGCAAATTTTTTTTTTGAAAAAAAGTCCGTTTTGTGATGTCTGTCTCGATACGAAAGTGGCTTCGTGATAATATGTTAATTAACTTATTTAGAACAAACTATTCCAAATTAGAATTTGCTTTTTTTCATCATTTATTCATTAATTGAATGAAATTATTATTTTTGTTGTATTACTTTGTAACACTTTAAAAGAGGCCATTCGCTTCCTTATTTATGCATCATAATTTATTCATTTATATATATATAAAAAAACACAATATCATTAGATAATAGTTTCCTTTAATTTCTAATTAAAATTAATTTAACTATTAACTTAAATAGAGCCCACGTTTATGATTTTTTCGAATTAAGGATTAATTATCTTTAAAATAACGGTGTATTGTTTTAATAGTTTTTAGATATCCTTTACAAAGTTTACATGAGGGTACATCCCCGGTTTACTGTAACTTTAAGATTAGGTCCGTAAATAATTAGGTCAGTAAATCGAGAATTAGGCCAGACAGTAATTTATCGTTTCCTGCAATTACATGAATGTTACGTTCTGAAATGTCATTTAAAAATACAACTTTTTGAAATTCGAAACATTTTAAAGAAATGAAGCAATTAACTGATTAAGTTTCGGGAAGAAACTAAAAAGTTTCAGTAATTGAGATTGAATTTATTATTTCTTATATGTTTGCTTTATATTATTTTATTTCGCATTGTGAAAAAAATATGGTCAACTCTACCAGATTTTGGTTAAATTTACCGTATTTTTGCCTCTATGTGAATATAAAACAGACCTGTAAATTCTACCAAAGCGCTTTGGTAATGATTTTGTGGGTAATAAACAATATATTCGAGAAAAATATAGTATAAGAGATAAAATTTGGTAAATATGATAAATTTTGGTAATTTTTTTCATACCTTAGAGCATGCCACAAAACTCATTTATTCGGTTAATTTTACTTTTCAGTATTTTATTTTTTACTGAAAGTGTGGTGATGAGAACTATTAATTTGAAATCCAGAATTTCCAATACCGTACATGTTGGTACCATTAACCAGAATTATGTTTTTTTTATTATTTTTTTTCCCAGAAATATTTTTACGCTTGCATATATATTTTGCACTTGCATATGAATTTTGCACTTACATATGTCTTACCGTGCATGTCAAAAATTCATTAACCTTTTTTTTTTACTATACAAAGACAAGAAAAATTTATAGACAGGATAATTTTGCCTTTTATTTTTACTTTAGTTGAATACTAGTTCCATTGGTATGGTTTTCTGACGAACATTGTTATACATTTTTTAACGCGCTTATATATTTTTTATGCTAACGTATAAATTTTATAGTGTATAATAAAGATATACGGATCAGTCTTTTTTAATTAAATGCTAAGATTAGAAGTTCATAAACAGAAAATTACTTTATTTAAATTTATTGGTTGTCAAGTCCCATTTATGTATTCCCCATGCATGCAAACTAAATTTCCATCTACACATTTTGACTTTCGAACATATTTTATCGTATATGAAAAGAATATGCGGGTAATTTTTTTGTTATACATTAGTAAATAAAATTTATTTATAAGGAAAATACTTTTGTTGAATTTGGGGGTATAGATTTTTATAATAATACAGATTTTTGACACGTATATATGCTTCTAGATTTGAATATATATTTTACTGTGTATTAAGAAACTATATGGATGAGTTTATTTATGATACAAGAAATTTAATAGACTGGATATTATACTTGTTGAATTGGGAGGAAGATAAATATTATTACAGATTTTTTACATGTTATTAATATATTTAACATATATATTTTACTTTTGCATAGATATATTACAGAGGGTTACGAAACCTTATGAATCAGTTCTTTTAATATAATACACTGACAGGAAAAATTTATAGACAGGAAATCATTTTCGAATGTTTGAAACAATTTTTTAAAAATAATTATGACGCAACTACCTTTGGGTTTTGTAGCAATTGATATATTGTAAAAGAAGAATTCCCACCTACGGATCTTTTCAAAATTCATAATAAAGGTCCTGCTATTGCATTTTTTAAAACAGAAAAGAGCCATCAGTTTTCTATGATGTTCTTTATTTCAATTTCGGATCAGACAGTTATTATACTCATTTATACGTATTCAGATATTCTTTTTTATTCCTTTGTCTCCTTTATTTAAGTCTGGACATACAACAGGTATTTAGTTTCACAGAGTTGTCATTCTTACTCATTTGTTTTTAACTAAACATTGTCAAACGAGTAGATTACAGAATCTTCTAAATTTTTACATCATGAAAGCTGTAACTGGATTTGTTCTTTGCTGTAAGTAAATAAACTTACTAAATTCCGATATAGCCTATAATTTTTTACTAAAGTACTATAATTTTGGTTTATTAAAATATTACAGACTTTTTAAACTTCAAATAATGTATGTCATGCTTGTATGACATAATATGCGAAATCTAGGGTATACAAGTATCAGGTATTTTCTCTCCTTACTGTAAAATATTACGGATCAAATACAGTACTTTGGGTGCATCGTCTGTAAAATGTATTTTTTCCTAAAAATATTATACCGCAGTGTTTCCAGTAATATTAGAGTGATTCAGTGATTTTATGGAAATTATTGCTGTAAAAATTATTACAAAGCGCATAAAACTTTTTGTTCTGTAACATGTTAAAAATGGATTTTGATGTAAAAAGTAATAGTGCTGGTACTTTTTTCTGTAATTTGATCCGGAATTTTTTGCAGTAAATTTCGTGAAAGATGTGAATTTTTATTCTTTGCATAACTCATTTACAACTAACAAAGAAGATTAACATGAAATTCTATCGCAAATTTTACCACCATATTTTCAAAATATTCTAAACGTTTTTTATTTAAATAAAATAATTTTAATTTAGAAAGATAATTATTTTAAATATTATAATATGAATACGTTTTATTAATGAATATGCATAAAAATGATTTTAGGTTTGATAATTGCTGCAACTTGTAAGTTGAGATGTTTCAAGAGCGCCCTCTCCCGGTGTCATGCGAAGCAACGGATTTCAGAAGATATAACATATTGTCAGTAAGTTTTCCGCATTAATTTAAATATTTTGCACAAATGATGTTGAGCGAATAAATTAATGTAAAAAAATTCAAGCACTGAATTGAATATTAGTTCGTTAACCCCTTGCACTACGCTGAAATTTGGAAATAGCTGTGCCTTACTTATGAACCAGAATGTTCGCGAAAAGAGCCTAAGAGAAGAGAGACTGAGAGAATTAGAGATTAGGAGACAAAAGATATAAAATACCTATTCATATTAAGAAGAGTTTATTCAGACTTTCTTGATTAGCCGAGATTAAGACCAAGAGTACGGCTCGTGATATTCAGGTTTGCCCCGAAACGTCAATTACGAGCCAGACTCGTGATATTCACGTTTGATATGGAATCTAACAACGAGTCTGACTCGTGATATTCAAGTTTGGCCTAATATTTTCATCAATGAGTCAGTCTCGTGAAAATAGTAGAAGGAATTATTGTGACAAAAAAGTTTAAAATTAAAAAATATATATACATTATTTTTTTTCCAGAGCATTATAATTTGAACTAGTCCAGATACAAATTTGCTAACTGCTACAAAAATGAAAATTGAGAAATAAAAAAAATGTAATAAGAAGCGTGCAACAAAGCATACCGGCTCTACTTTTCTCGTAAATTTTCATTAATACATCGCACCCCGGCAACAAAAGTGACACAAGTCGAAAAACAGCAATTTTGAGGTTTTGTCGATAAAAAATATATATGAAGTGACCCATCAAGCTCAAAAAGTATCACATCTCTAACTCGCAATTTGTCCAGCTGAGGCAGTTGCGTCAGTTTTGTGACTAATTCAGAATAAGTATTAAAGTATTCTTTAAGTTGATTTTTCTCAGATTGTCTCTCTTCTGCGTTTTAGAGTTATGACACTTTTCTTGATGGGGTGCGACACATTAAGATGCATTTAAAGGTATTTTATAAAATTATACTCCCTAGCAGCTTGAAGCTCACCTAGCTTCAAATCGATTGATAGGTAGCAACTTGTCAGGGAAGTAATGGCTGTTGGGGAGAGATTCTGACTATAATGCATTTGCATGTCTTTGATCTAGAAATTATGGAGCCTTTTTGACCGTCTTAGCCGACAACTGGCTGAGTACGGCGAATGCTTCACATTTTAACTTCCTATAAATTTGCATTTTGCAGGTTTTTGTATCTGCACACAAAGAAAAAAAGTATGGTCAAAAATACCAGAAAATGATACAATTTACTGTGTTTCTGACTCTGGGAACACTAGAAAGATCGGTAATTTTAACCGAAGTACTTTGGTAATGATTTCGGTAAAATGATCAATCAATATGGTTTTATAATATATGATGAAGTTTGGTAAAGTTATCCTATACCTTTGAGCGTGACATAAGCCTAAATCTACGGTTAAATTTAATCTCCAGTTTTGTATTTTATTACAAAATGTGCGTTGATAAGAACTATAATTTTGAAAACTAGCATGTTCGATAAACCTTTACCATATGAGCGAAAAAAATTAAAAAAGGATTGGTATAAATATCGTAAATTGTGTTTTTGTTCTTAACAAGAAATGTCATTACCATGAAGTACGGTAATTTTACCAGAACAACTTGATGACCGAATGTTTCGCAACTGGATACAGTGCGTAATAAGAAACGGATGTAGTTCCAGCACAATTGTTTGTTATAAAAATATATATATCTGCACAAACATGAAAAGTTTTTATTTTTATTCCTTCAGGAATGAAATTGCTATGCATCAGTGTCAGCTGAATGCTTCTTTAGAATGTGGATTGGGGTTTGATTCCACGGCAAGGCAAGCAATCTCTGCATTAACGGACGTATGTACAAATGGGACTGAATCAAATAAAGGTGAGTTGAGACAGCCTCCTTTCATGCTCATTTTTTTTTCCTTTCAAGATTTAGAGAGTACAATTATTTTATCAAAACTAATTCAAACGAGAGCACAAGTATGGTTTGGTGTAAAGTTTATTTAATTAAAGAAGAATTAAGAATTTATAAAGTGGTTAGAAAACGGAGTAAAAAAAGGTATACTTATTCGGGGTTGCAAATAATATTTAGGGGAAATCAAAAACGTAAATCCTATCAATATTTTCTAAATGACTGCTAAGGACAATAAAGTTAAAAAACATAACCCATTTGATTATCAGAAAATTGTTTTTTCTTTTATATTTATTTTTATTGTTACTTGTAACTTTTAAGTTATTCCAACGTTGCCTTAGTTCGTATTCATAAAATTCTGCAAAAATCGAGAAGTATTAATTGCTTTAAATAATTTCTATTTAGGTGGAAAAATCTCGCCAAATTGGCGATTTTTAAAGATTTAAGTATTTTTTAATATATTCAAGTTATTTGTCATTTCTAAAGCTAAGATAAATCTTTACGACTAAATAGTATATGTAATTTTTTTAAATTATTTTTTTATTTCCAATGAGCTGCACAATCAGTCTTGCCGATGAGCAGACCTAGTGCGTTCTCCAGAGGTGGTATCAACTCTTTCAGGACCACCACAATGGGTGAGATACCGTTGGTCATGTTAATTTGGACGTCTAGTTTCTGACTCACTAGATGGCAGCACCGAGACTCTATTTGGATGCTAAAGTGCACTAGGAATTTAATTTTGCCGGAGATGCCAAGAGCCAAGGCACTCCAGGGATCTTTTACATGCCGCATAATCATACGACATGGCCGCTGAGGATTTTCTGCATCCCGA